ACAAATCCAAGCATTATTGATACTTCGACTATCCAAATTTGGGGTTGTTTCGCGCCTAACCCCTCGGTATCCTCACCGACCCGGAAGCAAAGGCTTTGCACACGAATATGTACGTATATGAATAAATACACAGTCGGCTGTTTCCCCTCAGCTGACAGGTTAATCGTCGCACTACCGTACCAACTGACCCTGAAACCCCACGTGACCTCTGGCGTTTGTTTTAATAGGTGCTATTTGTTCCGACATAGATCGATCTGTCCCGACCAATCATCAGTGAGAACAATTGGTCAGGGGTGAAAGATCGTTGGGCATATTCTGGGCGAGTTCTACTAGAGCTAGTTGACCTCGTAAGGTACCAACCAATTAAATAATCTATAGGACTTTATTAATTTATTCGTAATTCTTTTTACGTCGATAGGTGTGGGTGTATGTACATGTACCTGTGAGTCAGTGGGGCAACCAGTGGGGTGAGGAGAAGTGAGCTAATTGACAGTCTGACAAAATACGCAATCGTACACATTGTCCTACCAGGACGGCCACGTTTAATGAAGCATCCCATACAGGGAGAGATGATCAAAGCCAAAATGCGCCCCCGGGTTACTTGTCCTTATTCTGACCTAAAGTGGGTCTGTTCATACCCTGATGTCATATCGGGTCAGACACCTCCAGTTTAACACAATCTGTCAAGTCGGTCCCACCTCAAACCACTCTGTTTCGCCTCATGAATGGACACTCAGGTTCGAGCCCAAAATGAAATTGCGTGTGTGCGATTTGAAGACCTCGTCTATTGACTCTGGTTACCATGTTGTCAATTGGGACTTTCAACCCCCTTGTCAAAATGCAGTCAAATTCCTCGCGCTTCGAGTTGATACATCAAACCAAGAATTAGCCTTAATGCTGCTTGATGCAAAGAGTAGCCCGGGTGACAGTTGCTGGATTCAATTGACTGATTGGTGCATTCATTGATCTTTTGGATAGCAAAATAATAGCGAGTGTTATGAATACACACAGTGATCGGCACGAGTTATGGTAACAATTAGTAAGCACTTTTGTCGTCAGTTCTGGAGCCGACGAATGGAATCCAATTCAATCAAACTAGTGCTATTGTTCTCAACGAGGCGTATCGTTCCGAACACACCAGTCTGATACTGGTACAAACTTTTCACGCCTGTGATCACAAAACCCCGTCCGTACTTTACCAGGGACAAGAGTTGGAATCGTTTGTTGTAACTTGGAATTTTATTCAATCATCATTTTTGTTGTTCTGATCGAAGGAAACAAATATGCATTTCGAATTTCTTGCCAAATGGTCAAAGGTGCTGACCAGAGAACGATCGTCATTGGATACATATTTAAAGAGAGAGAGAAGGAATTAAAAGAAAAAAACACAGGTGCTCAATTTAATTGTAAGAGAAAATTTTGCTTAGCACACAGATGCGATCGTTTTGTTCCGTCGCCCTCTTGTGTACCGCAACTGTATTGAACGTTGATCAATCAACCCATTGCGTAATCACAATGTACCAATTTATCTTGAAATGGAAACAAATTGGTAAACATACATGTATATGCTGGAAAGAAATATTTTCCCGAAAAATGATTTGTTTATCACAATCCATAGTAAAATTGTTTTATTTTTAATTTCGGGTTGTTTTGAAAGACGTCAATTCTATTGTCCCTTCTTCCCTATCCGCCTCGGCAACAAGAAAGAAACACGTAAATCCGATAGAAATGTTTGTGATAACCAACAAAGAGCACTGGATAGATGGTTCGTCCTGTTTGGAACTTTGTCAACAGTGAACGTACTTTTTGTGTCCCCGTGTCAGGACTCGTGGGAAATTAATGATCTCCCAAGGAGTGAAACCCACACCCAAGATCATCAAGAGTGCCTGGTGCCTCTGAAAAATCGAATGGGCTAGTCCAAGCTTGATATTCAAAAAAAAGAAACACATTCACAATCACTTTAACAAACGACCTGACAGAATAGACTACTGAATTTTCTCGTTTCAACACATTTTTTTCTGTGTTCCCGTATGATGACTGTGACGTTTTTTTACAGTTAATTGATACTTTAGAGAACAAAGAGAATAAACTGTTCGCGTTTCTGGACGTTCTACTAAGCCACCGATCAGACGGAGCTGTCCAGCGCGCCGTCCGCAGGAAGTCATCGTGGAACAATCAGTATATCCAGCCTTTGGACCGGAAAAGGAACCTGATTCAGGGCCTAGCTACCGGAGAGCGGAGAATAGTTACAACTGATAACATTGATACAGAATTGAGGTTTATTTTGAGGCGTCACCGGTTACCAAATAAGAGCAC